TCGCGACGAAAGGAAATAAAAACCAACTCTTGAAACAGTTGATAGAAAGAACGAAAATAAGAATTATCAACAGCTTACTGGGATCGTCGAGATGAGGAGCATCCTCGTCGACACAAATGCCCACGTGATTAAGAAGGCAGCTGTCTCTAATCAATTTACGGGCACTGTACGTACATTTATTCAACTCGACTAGCATATCGGCAAAATAACTAGAGCGAGGTCGTTTGTGTTGTTTAACCTTGCTTGTGATCCAAGCATTTTCAAATGGATATTGACCGGGAGCAGGGAGAATAAAGAAATATTTCGATTTCCATTCGATGACGTTGGAGGAAAGTTACCCCAGAACGATGACCTAGACAATGGGCGTCCTTTACAAACCGATATTCGTAACAATAGTGAAAAAACTCGGGAAGGAAGCTACCTAGCATTATTCGGGAGACGAAAATGAAAGCCACCATTATGCGAATAGAGTTGGGGGTAAACTGATTTATTGGTATATCATACAAGTTAGAAATAGAGAGAAGTTCGGGTTGAATAGGAAATCGCACATCAAACACAATTTGGTCGACAAATAAATTAAACATCTGGAAGGAGGATGTTTGAAGTCGTTATTAGGGCTGGGGGCGATTAACTCCCAGTCTGAGGGAAGGCCACTATAAGCCCTGAAGCCCTCGATTTTGGCTGCAGGGGCATAAGAGAAAGGATTAAGAACAGCTAACTTTACTAATGGACAGGCTAATGTTACATTATCTTTAGGCTCGACGAGAGGAGCAATTATTGAAAAAGGTACATAACTCGTCCTATATACAGGAATGTCTAAAAACCAAAAAGGAATACCTCGAGGAATGAGGCTCAGACGAGGGCTCTTGCCTCTAGGAGAATTTTGAAGCTCGTCGGCTAGTTGACCCAACAAAAGTGCTTGATTGTACTCATCCCAGTTAACACCCCACAAGGACGCATCTGAAGAGGGAGAGTTTTATCGCTCGTCTGCTAACTTGTAGCCGACTACTTGAACAGAATCGGAGTTGTAATACTCATCAATCTGGTGAGCGATGGAGCCACAGAGAGAAGCAGAGTCGGAAGCTAAAAGAAAAATATAGAAGAAAGAAATAGAGGGTAACAATCAGTTAGCGACACGAAAACCAACAGTTAGCATAGCAGAATGAGAAATCAAGTCAACTTAAATCAAGTTGACTTAAATCAAGATGACTTGGCATCCTTTAGCCTACTCGGCTCGACTTGACCGGATAGAAGGAAAGAAGAAGCAACGAGGGTTGTGAATCCAATCGACTCGACAGAAAAAAAATAGGTCGACATGAGTCGACCCGCAAGGAAAAGTGAAGTCGACCTCGTAGTCCAGATCGACTCGTCAACAAACACATAAGCGGATGCAAGATTCACATGTGGAAGATCTAACACCAAATTTATCTAAAAGCATATGAAAATCACAAATCGCAAGAAGAACATACAAGAACTCCAAATTCAAGAAACCCAGAAAAATTAAAAAGAAAAAAAATCAACCAACGAAAAATAAAGCAAAAGAAACTTACACATGATGCTTAGCTTGAAGAAGTCCAAAAAAATTGACCTTTAGATGCAAACCTAGATCCAACGATCTTGATGATACACGGAATTCGAAGCGGCAGAATTCGAAGTGGCGTGTCATATCCAAATTCAAATTTCGAAATTCGAAAAAGACATCAGAATGACAGGCTTGCCTGAAAAACAATCATGAGAAATTACAATACAACCCCATAAGATGACATGGCGGGTTGTCAATGCGACAACTTACAAGGCCTGATAAGATGACAAGATGAGTTACGACACGACGAGTAAAGAAGATACCGTGATCAAATAAGTATGACGTAAATAAGTCGAGCGGAAACACCGAGAGGAACCTCGACGTCGAGAAAATAATAACAAGCAAGACCCATAGAAACACCTGGCCACCAAATTTACTCTTAAGCTCTAGACTGCTTAGAGTACTTTTTTTT